AGGAATATCACAATATCAGTTTATATAAAACAAATATTTTGTTGGTCTCGAAAACAAATGTTATTTACCATTGTATAGTCAATATAAAATATTAAATGAATTAATATATCATATAATTTGCATTATAATTTTTTAATATTTCCTAATTATGTTAACTACTTCTTTGTTGATCGAAATAATGTTATATTATTTATGTTAATTTAATGTTATAATTTTCAATTTGTTTTTCGAGTGATACTCTGATATTTCTTCAATAATCTAATATTATATTTCTCCTATTACAGAATACAAAATTTTTAAATTGTTATATTTTAAAAAAATTTAGACAAATCTCTAACAAGAGTGTATTGTTATAATTTTAAAAACATAATTTTTAAATTTAAAATTAAAAAAGAAAAAAAGTAAATTTGCCTAAAATAATCCCACCATTTATTTAGTTGCGAAAAACATGCATTTGCTAAAAATATAATTCCGTTAAGTGGTCGTTAGCTTTTTAACAACGATCAAAAACTCGCACACATGTGGAAATGTAGGATTATTTCCGGTGACAGTCAAAAGTGAAAATATTTTTTAATGAGCGTGAAAATGTGGGATTATTTAAGCTAATTTTTCTTTAAACTATTTGAGAATTTATTTTAATAAAATATGAAATTTTAAAAATATAATACTCATTTCATGCTTTTTTTCATCTTTCCCAACATTTTTATTTTTTCCAGCAATTTTCAACTCATAATTTTTTCTAATTTCTTCCAACTTCTTTCAAAATCTTCCAACTTCTACCAACTTTTTTGAATTCTTTCAAGTTTCTTTCAACTCCTTTCAGTGTTTTCCAACTCTCCCTAACTTTTTTAAAAAACTTCTAGTTTCTAGCTTCTAGCAACCAACTCTAAATTCTAACTCAAAAGGATAGACTTTAAGACAATTACCAACCATTATATTCACACCAAACTCAAACTCAAAATGTAATAAATACCAAATTTAATTTACAATAATCCATCTCCAAGTTGTTACACCAAAATTAATGTAATATTCACATGGTATATTCTTTTTCTTATTAGTTCTTATAGTTTAAGTAAAAACTAAAAAATTAGAATAAATTATTTAAAAAATTAGGAGAAAAAGACTAAAGTATGAGGAAAACATATAAAATATATCAATATAGGAGTTTTATGTTTGTATTCCCAAAATAGGAGTTAAAATGCATATATAATGAAAAATATTGTATAATATCCATATACAGTGTCACATTATCACAGTGCAAACTTCTATTTTAATAATAAAAATATGGAGCTCCTATTTTAATATTTTCTTTATGCTTTACTTTTATTTAGGGTAATTTCTTAAAATTCAGTCAGCTAGAAAGATAAATAATGTAAGCTAAAATAATTAAAAGTAATAATGCGAAGTAATATAGATATGGAAGAAAAGAAAATAGAGTACCCCAAGTTACAATCCATATTTGGGTTTGTAATATTAAAAAAGTCATTTTGCAATTGGAAATGGAGTACTAATAAAGGATTTACAACTCTTAAACCGAATATATGCAATATTATTAAAGATAGATTAAGAGATGACCCTAAATATGAGTAAAACATAGAATTTATCATCAAAATAAAAGTTTCATGTTTTTATTCTCAAAATAAAGTTTGTACAGTGATATTATGACACTATCTTTTTTACACTGTGGTTATGTGGCACTGCACATGTACATTTTACTATATTTTTTGGTAATGTACGTGGTCATGATTGGTAATGTAAATACATTTTAACTTCTATTTCGAGAATAAAAACATGAAACTCCTATTTTGGAATATTTTTAATGTATGATTTCTACTTTATTTTTTTCCCAATATAAAATGCAGTAGAATCTCAAAATGCAGTAATTTATCTCTCATCCATTACTTCTAACTCAAATTCGAATCACAACAAATTCATTTTGTCTCTTCTCTTTAATCTTTATAGTTTGCGAGTATAAATTTAAGAAAAAATGCATTCAACTATGTATAAAAAAGATAAGTCTAGTGCATAAATACATAAGCACCTTGTCCTTTTGAGTTGGAAAAATTAACTTTAATTTTTTTTTTCAACTTCTTCATACATCTTCCAACTTCTTCCAATTTTTTTTCTAACTTTTTTCAACAACCACTTAAAAAAGCATATATACATATGATGAATATACATTAATATCATATATACAAAATTCCAAATTTATAACATACCATCTCATACAAGGAAAAAGATGATTTTTTATCCAAATTTAGTTTTCTAACATATTTATTTGGATAATCATTTAAATGAATGATTTTTAAATTTTACATTTTATTTTTTCCAAAATTTTTTAATTTCTTCCGTTTTTCAAATTCTTTCTAATTTCTTTCAACTCCTTCCAATTTTTTCTAACTCCTTCCAATTTTTTCAAAGATGCAACTTTAAAATTCCAAAAAATAAAATAAAAAAGGAAAACAAAAGTAGTGGAGCCTACACTACACAGTTAAAGGCATATTTGCATAGGGAGGAAAGGGAGACTGAAAACGTATTTTTAGGGTTTGTTATTCTTGGAGGATTAAGAGCTCGAGTTTGATTCGTGTGAACTGTGCTAAGAGGTAATTATTCTAAGTATAAGTTCTCTTAATGTATCAAGTAGGTACATGCTTCACTCTTTGCTATCAATATTTGATTAAAGCTTAATTTATCTCTTCTCATTTGATCGTCCAACCATTTCTGAAGGATCTTCAACGATGGGGTTCATTTTTTTTATTGAGTGGTAGAGCCGGTCCAAGTGTGAGCCAAGGTACCTTAATTACCAGCCCAAGCCCATTTTTTGCGGGGGCCATATTTTTAGGAAGGAGAATAATAGAGTAAAAATCAGGATAATGACAGAAATATGAGGGCTAATACTAAGGCCCTGTTCCGTTCAACTTATTTTTTTTATTTTTTCTTATTATTATTAAAATCAGATCAGATCAGATTCCATCAAGAATTATTGTTATTATTATTATTGTTGTTGTTGTTGTTATTATTATTATTATTCTTAAAAATGAAAAAGAATAAACTTTTAAAATCAGATCAGATTAGATCAAATCAGATCAGACCAGACCAGATCTGATCAGATCTGATAAAAACTACAGAAAATCAGATCAGAAAAAATAAGTTGAATGGAAGGGAGCCTAAATCATATCGCCAGCGTGTAACCTTATGTTTTACGGCCAAAAATTCCCTGCAATTACTTTTGAATAAAACTTCGAAGCTAGCCTGGATCTTCACAACCCAATCTTCCGGTTAAATCTTAGAGAGAAAGTAAATAACCATTACTTCATTATTCATCAATCACGTTTATAGAGCAAGAAAAAAAACTTATATAACTACCATGTCTGCAAACCAACTAAAAAAAATTATGAAAAAGATAAACACACGTGCAGAAAACAGAAAAGAAGGTTTGCTGGCAGGGGACTCTACTCCACACCCACCCCCCGCAAGCTCGGTGGGCGTGACATCATACCCAGCTTGGACAGAAGCCTCTGGAATTCACTACTGCAGGATAGGGAATACACAGCGGATAAATTTGATATTTTACAGCGCAAATCAACCGCTGTGTAGGTGACCGGTGCAATAGGTATCATGTTTACACATCAGATATTTATCCGCTGTGAAAGGATTTACACAGCGGATAAATATCCGTTGTGTAAGGGTTCTTAAAAAATGATATGGTATCAAAAATCCATAACACAGAAAACATGGATAATTAGAAAACAAGAACTACCCTAACACATGGACTATAATTGGGCATGAATTCAACTCCAACTTACACAATTCAATTCCAAATTACAAAGTAGTATTCTAAACTATCTGCTATAGTATTCATCCCAAGTTTTGAACTAAATTAAATCTGTAAACTCAAAATCAGTGATGGAACTCAGAAATAGTTAGAAGAGATTAGAAGATTGGAAAAGATAACATACCTCTAGGTAGTCGGCGGTGTTTTTTTCCCGTCAGCATCTGCCCGGGATCATCTCGAGGCGAGAGCATCTGGGTTCCCCTTCTCAGACTCCAGCAGAACAAGGATGTCGCCGTCTCGGACAGGTCCCTTCACGTTCCTCATGATAAACCTATTGGAGTCATCATATATAAACTGCAATGATAAGAATCTTGAGTGAAAATCAACATATAATCTAAAAGCATAAATTTCAGATTCTGTGCAATCTTGAGAGATGATCAATTCAAATATTGATTAAAACACCATTGTTTGATACGGGCCCAAACGTGGATGGGTCAGGCAACGAACACGCTGAACGTCCAACCAACGGGGGAGTCGGACGTGGCGCATGCAAACAACACCAACGAGACTTCTACTTCGAGCCGACCGCGTCGTAACGTTGGGCCACCCCAACGTTACCGGGATTATGTTTAGTTACTTTCTCTTTTATTTATTGTAACGTAGATTTTTCCTAGGTGAGCATTTATAAGCTCCTTCGAGGGTTTCTTTTCGATTCTTTACCTCGATGCATTTTTTGAACCGACAGGGTAGAACTAATATTAGGGTTTGAGGACTCAACATGTCATTATATAAGAGAACTCATCTCCCTTACGTATCATGAATAAGATTTTTTAGCCTCTCCCTACAACTCTTCTCAAACCCCAAACCCTACTTTTACGGCCAGTGGCGGAGCTAGTAAGGAGCAAATGACTGCAAATGCAGTCACTGAAATTTGTTCCCCAAATCCAAAACGACGTCGTTTTGGCGTTTTACCAAAAAAAAATCTGCTCTGTCGCCTACTCACATGTCCTGGCTGTTCACTTTCAATCCTCTTTTCCACCCGTCAATTCCCATCTCATCCCCAAATCCCACCCAATTACATCCACTCAATTCTCCAATCTATTCCCAATTTCCCATTCAATCTTCAATTCTTCAAATCTTTCTTCAAATTGTGCAAAGTGCAGAGACGGCAAGGGCGACGATTCCGACGAAGTACAATCGTTTAAAAACAGGCTCCGATCGGTAACTTAGCCTTTTTATCAGGTTTTTTCTCTAATTTATTAAATTAGTAATTGATTACCATTTAACCTATTTTTTTATTGTGATTTTCTTCAAATTAACAAATTAATCTTATTTTCCTCAAGTCTGAAGTCGGTTGATTTTCATCTTCTTCATTGAAAAGTTTTTTTTTGTTTTCTCATATTAGACACTCGTACAGTCGTACTATTGGTAAAACAAAAATAGTTTTTGATGAAAATATTTTTTGTTCTCATATTAGGCACTGGTACAAAAAAAACTAGGTTAGAGACAACAAAAAATGAAATTTTGAGGGTTGAAATTGCCAAATTTTAATTGACAAATATTTTTATTGATAAATTTTACAGGTGAAAATATCAAATTTTGGGGGTTGAAACTGCTTACTTCACACTTCACAAACAGGAAATGAAAGGTAACATCCACACTATACTTGTGACTTATTTAGATTTAATGAGTATTATTAAATTTCACAGTCCTTGCAACGAAAGGATCAAGACCTAGCCAATGCAATTGCTTTAGTGAGAGTTGCAAAAGTTCGATTGCAGAATTTGAAAAGTGTTAAATTTGATGTGTTGCTTGATTTAACAACTGAGTTTTGCAAGAAACATGATGTTGATATTCCAAACATGGGTGATTTCTATTGTCCCAAGGGAAGATCAAGGAGAAATGCATCAACACTCAAGTTTCGGGAGTTCTTCAAGTTCATGTACTTTGATAAAGTGATCGACCAACAACTTTTTTAGATGAATGATCGCTTTGACAACGTGAACACAAAGTTGATCGAGTGTTTGAGTTGTCTTGATCCCCGAGATTCATTCTACAAATTTGACACAAAAAAGTTGGTTGAATTTGCTACATATTATCCAATGGATTTTGATGAGTCTTGTGATCTTTCTTTCCTTTCCTCTTCCTTGGAGACTTTTATTCTTGATGTAAAAGATGATGAAGGATTTGCTAATTTGAAAGGAATAGGAGAACTCTCCCAAAAAATGGTTGAGAAGAAGAAAGACATTGTTTATCCGATGGTGTATTTGTTGGTGAAGTTAGCTTTACTTTTACCGGTTGCAACAGCAAGTGTGGAACGTGCATTTTCAGCAATGAACTTGGTCAAAGATAAGTTACGCAACAGAATTGGTGATGAGTGGTTTAATGCTTGTATGCTAACTTATATAGAGTATGAAACTTTTGATCGTGTGGAAGATGAAGACATCCTACAATATTTTCAAGCAATGAAGGCTAGAAGAATGATTTTGTAGACTTGAGGTAATATGATTTGTTATGTTATGAACTTTAATATTAAAAATATTTCTCCTTTTATTTAGTTTTATTTTTATTTTTTTTCACCCCCACTCTATGAATTTCCTGGCTCCGCCACTGTTTACGGCCGATCGGAAGCATCGTCCACCTCTCTCCTTCTTCTTGTCTCCCTACTGCCGTAAGGCTTGATACAAAATTGTATCAACTGGTGCTCTCATTGATGTACTCATGGCTGATTCCGGAACCCCTTTTGATTCCTTCACTCTCGCCGATATCATGGGTGCTATCGCGGAATTGCGGATTGATTTGCAGACCACCAAAACGAGGGTGGTAGAACTGGCTGTGGCCAATCGGCCAGGCACAGAACCCCAACGTCGTTGTCTGGCGCAGTTTACTCTGGGGTGGCGGCCTCCTCCTTCACACATGACACCACCCACACTCGAACCCGCTCCACGGATGCGGGTGGATGCTCCTCGTTTCTCCGGTGAGGATCCGACGGGCTGGATTTTTAAGGTACAAAAATACTTTGATTACTTCCTCACCCCGGAACCGGAGCGGTTACAATTGGTCGCCATGCTCATCGACCACCCCGCGTCGGAATGGTTTCATTATTTCCAAGCCAATAATCCCAGGGCAACTTGGCCCGAGTTCTTGGATGCGGTACAACAACGTTTTGATTCAAGCTATTATGAGAATTATATTGGAGTGTTATCTAAGTTATCACAGACCTCTTCTGTTATGGACTATCAATCGGCTTTCGAAACCATTCTCAATAAGGTTTCGGGGGTACCCGAGGCAACTCTTATTGCCATGTTCAATGCCGGGCTCAAGCAACCGGTGCGCCGCGAGGTAAATTTACAGAACTCATCCACCCTCGCTTCTGCTTTTGCCCTTGCCAGAGAGCTGTCGACGTGTCATGAAGAGGCCGCGGCATCCTATACTGCCAGTAGGAAGCCATGGCAGTCCCGGTAGATTTCCACCCCAGGCACGGGTATTCTGCCGACCCCAGGCCCCACCCCACGGAAACCCCAGATCACAGGCCATCCGGGGGACAAGTCTCCTCTCCCAGTGGTTCGTTTGTCGCTAGCCGAAAAGACGGAGCGCAATAAGAAAGGGCTCTGTTGGTACTGCGATGAAAAATGGGTACCTGGCCATAATTGTAAACACCGTTTTTTGGTTCTTATGGGCCCCGATGATGACGACGAGATTAGCGGCGATCTCCCCACATCCAATCTGATCGAGGATACAATCACAGGGGATGTTTCGAGCATATTATCCTTGGCAGGCAGTCCTCGATCGTTGAACATGGCCGGCTCTATCAATGGTGTGGCCGTTCAAGTGTTGCTGGATGGGGGCAGTACCCACAATTTTTTACATCCTGCGGTGGCCGAACGGTTGGTGTTAGTTATACATCCTACCCCGGCTTTTTGCGTCTACGTGGGTAATGGTGATTCGTTACATTGCGCCTATTCTTGCCCGCAGACCCCTTTATCCCTACAAGGCCACGTTTTTGAGGTGGACCTTTATGTTCTTTCTATTCACGGGCCAGATGTAGTGCTCGGCGTTCAGTGGCTTCAGACACTCGGCAAAATATCTCATGATTATTCGGAGATGACCATGGAATTTACTTGGCAGGGCCGTACTATTACCCTGCGCGGTGACACCCCTACTCCACGTCCCATGTCCTATAGTCAGTTCTGTGCCCTTGCCACATCCCCAGAGCCATGTGATTATTATGAGATTGTCGCTGCATCTCCTACTTCCGCCGCACAGGGGGCACTGGCCGAGCACATCCATGACGACGTACCGAGGCCTATCCGGGATATTTTAGCCGACTTTGCAGCAGTTTTTGGCCTGCCCAGTGGGTTACCGCCAGCCCGTTGTTGGGATCACAAGATTCATCTCGACCCGACGACCAAACCGGTGAATGTTCGGCCCTATCGCTATCCGTATTTTTAGAAAACTGAAATTCAAAAACAAGTCCAAGAGATGCTCGAGCAGGGTATTATTCGACCAAGCACCAGCCCCTTCTCTTCTCCCGTATTGCTAGTCCGCAAGAAGGACGGGACATACTGCTTTTGCGTCGATTACCGTGCATTGAACGCCGCCACCATCCCGGAACATTTTCTGATTCCTACCACAGATGAACTTTTTGATGAATTGGGCAAGGCGCGCATATTCACAAAACTGGATTTGCGCTCAGGGTATCAAGCTTAGCAAATGTTCTTTTGGCTGGTCCACGATCGATTACCTGGGGCATCTTCTTTCGGCAGGAGTTTTGAAACCTGACCCGGCAAAAATTTCGGCCATGATTGCTTGGCCCAAGCCGAGGACGGTGAAGCAGCTACGTGGGTTTTTAGGCCTAACAGGATATTACCGCCGCTTTGTCGCCGGCTATGCCACCATCGCCGCCCCACTGACGAGGTTGTTGAAGAAAGATGGGTTCCATTGGGATGAGGCGGCTGACACCAGTTTTGAGCGCCTCAAGCACGCAATGACCAAGGCCCCCGTACTCCGTCTACCTGATTTTAACCGGACCAAGGCGTCGGTGCGGTGCTCACACAAGAGGGACACCCTATTGCCTTTTTTTAGCAAAACCTTGGGACCAAGGCGTCGGGTGGCATCTACTTATCATAAAGAATTATATGCCATCGTCGAGGCGGTTCACAAATGGCGTCAGTACTTTTTGGGACGCGAATTTGTAATCCGTAGTGACCAGCGGAGCTTAAAGGAACTTCTTCAACAGGTCATTCAGACGCCGGATCAGCAATTCGACATTCGGAAACTAATGGGTTACAAATTTCGTTTCGAATATAAAGTTGGGGCCACGAATTGCGCCGCCGATACGTTATCCCGCCGGGAGGAGGATACAGAACCAGTCGGCCTATTGACAGCATATGCACATCCCATCCCCCATCTCCTACAGGCCCTAAGGACAGAGAATTCCTCTTTGCCGGACCTATGGCCATACACACGGCAGTTCAAGCTGGGTCAGCACCACCACATATCTCAGTTCATGATGGGATCCTTTACTACGACCACCGTTTGTACATCAGCCCCGAGTCGCCTCTTTGCCTACAACTACTCCATGAGTTTCATGCCACACCAACAGCCGGGCACCAGGGCGTCGACCGCACTTTTCGCCGCTTAGCTGCTATTTTCTTTTGGCCGGGCATGTGCCGAGCGGTGCGGCAGTTTGTAGCCTCCTGTACGATCTGTCAAGCAACCAAATATTCAACTCAAAAACCCGGGGGACTCCTTCGACCATTGCCCATCCCCGACCGGGTTTGGGAAGCGGTGTCATTGGATTTCGTGACGGGCTTACCGCCGTCCAAAGGGTTCACTGCTGTCTTGGTAGTCGTCGATCGGCTGAGTAAATACGTCCACTTTGGGCCACTCCCAACAGGGTTTGATGCTCCTCGGGTGGCGCTCTTGTTTGTTGATATCGTTGTCAAACATCATGGGTTTCCCCGTTCTTTGGTGTCTGATCGTGACCTGGTTTTCATGAGCAACTTTTGGAAGGAACTTTTGCGGCTGAGTGGGACCTCCTTGAAGTATTCAACAGCCTATCACCCACAGACCGATGGCCAGACCGAAAGTCTCAACCGCCATCTCGAGCAATACCTGCGGACTTTTGTTTCTGAACGACCATCCAGATGGGTAGTGCTTTTACCATGGGTAGAATTGGCTATTAATTGTACCTATAACGAGGTACCTGGGGTCTCTCCGTTCGAAGTTCTCTATGGCAGATCACCGACATCCCTTTTTCCCACACTGTCAGTCCGTGCTCGGGTACCCGCGGCCGAGGAATTATTGCGTGAGCGGGCTGCCCTCTTGGAGGATTTGAAGCTTCAATTGAAGAAAATGCAGCAGCGGATGGGCGCACAAGCTAATCATCACCGGCGGGAGGTGGTATTCAACGTCGGCGACATGGTGCTCCTTCGGCTACAACCCTATCGCCAACACTCCTTGGCACGTCCTGGTTCGTCCAAATTAGCGAGGCGTTTCTACGGGCCCTTTGAAATTTTGGAATGGGTTGGGTCGGTTGCGTACCGTCTTCGTCTACCGGAGGCTTGCCGCATACACAATGTGTTCCACGTATCACTTTTGCGCCCTTACGTTTAGCGGGATGGCGGGACCGTGCTGCCCTCCTTACCTCTGGAATTCGTCAAAGGCCGACCACTGTCCACCCCAATCGCAGCTTGGGATAGGCGGCAGGTGCTTGTCAATGGGGCGCCACGAGAGGAATGGCTCGTCCAGTGGTCGGATGGCACACTAGCAGAAGCTACTTGGGAGCCGGCTCAAGAACTCATCACTGCATTTCCAGATTTACGCCTTGGGACAAGGCTATGGCTAAGCGGGGGGAGTTGATACGGGCCCAAACGTGGATGGGTCAGGCAACGAACACGCTAAACGTCCAACTAACGAGCAAGGCCTACCAACGGGGGAGTCGGACGTGGCGAATGCGAACAACACCAACGAGACTTCTACTTCGAGCCGACCGCGTCGTAACTTTGGGCCACCCCAACATTACCGAGATTATGTTTAGTTATTTTCTCTTTTATTTATTGTAACGTAGATTTTTCCTAGGTGAGAATTTATAAGCTCCTTCGAGGGTTTCTTTTCGGTTCTTTACCTCGATGCATTTTTTGAACCGACAGGGTAGAACTAATATTAGGGTTTGAGGACTCAACATGTCATTATATAAGGGAACTCATCTCCCTTACGTATCATGAATAAGATTTTTTAGCCTCTCCCTACAACTCTTCTCAAACCCCAAACCCTACTTTTATGGCCGATCGGAAGCATCGTCCACCTCTCTCCTTCTTCTTGTCTCCCTACTGCCGTAAAGCTTGATACAAAATTGTATCATTGTTCCAAGAGAAAAAAAGAATCAAAACTAAACATAATGCATCAATTTCAAAACTTATCATCTAAAAGCATAAATTTCTACCCTGAACACTTTAGTCATATACTGCTCAATTAATGCAATTCCTACAAGATTAAACATCAAGCATAATTCCATAAATAGAATCTGCAAATCTGAAAAAACACTTGCCACATGAAAACTTCAGAATTCAGGGAAACATGAGTTCGAAAACCACGCATACAAATTTCACAGAGAATCCAAAACGGATCTAACCTTACATAATCAAAACTGAATCAAATTAAAATCCTCGATTTAACCTTACAGATTCAAAACTACGAATTTTTAACTATATGAATAATCGATTTACCCTTGCAGATTTTGGTTCTCACCGCTGCTGCTCAAGGGAAGGGAAGAAGGTGAATCGGTTAGTGTTGGAGGGGGAGGTAATCGATTAGTGTTGGAGCTTGCGTTCATTGGCGAGGAGAGATGGAGTTGATTATTACTACTGAACTCCAGAGATGGCAAGGAGAGATGGCCTCCGAAGGTATAGATGGGGGAGTCGACTGCCTTAGATGGCACGGAGAGATGGCGTCTGAAGGTAGAGATGGGGGTGTCGATTGCTAGAGATGTAGTCGATTAGGGTGTCAACGCAGATTTGATCTGATCGAGAAGAAAAAGAGTTGATAGATTTGAATGGAAAAAAGGCAGCGGGTACTTTTTTATCCGATGTAACTGGTGCGTTACTAAAAATTTTAGTGCGCAGTTCCAAAATTTTTGATGCGCGCATTTTAACCTAGAGAATAGACACTGGTTTTAATTTATCCATTGTGTAAAGTGCGCTGTTAAATAATCATTCTGTAGTAGTGATTGCTTCGGATGCATGATTTTGCACTACGTCAAAAATAGATGCTGACAACTATTTCTTTTAGTAGTCTCACGGTGCTGATTTCAGTATTCTTCCGAGCAGCTGTCTGATATATTTACAGACTATTGTTTAAAAACAGTTGTGTAAAATGGTTGATGACACCTGTTTTGTAATGTTTTAGAGTACGACTTTTTAGTGTTGTCATTGTATGAGTAAGACATCTGTTTTTTACAGTTAAAGAGAACTGTGATTTTTTATTGTCTATCTATAATGAATACTACTGTTGTTTTTAACTTTAGACTTCTTATTCTTGGTGTTGTCGTTCCACAATATAGACATCTACTTTAAAAAGTAATTGAAAAATATATCAGACTGCTGCTCGGAAGACTACTAAACAAAAATGCCATCAGACAACTATTATCTTTTGTTGTATTTCTAGAATATGGACTACTAACATTATTCTTATTCAAACTACTGTTTGTTTTAGTTGTATATTGATTATTAACACAACGGTGTTTTGTAGTTTTCCTTGAAGTATTCAAACTATCTTTTATGACAGTAGTTGAATTGTTTATCAGACAGCTACTCTAAAGATTACTAAAGAAATTTGCTTCAGACAACCATTATTTTGCGTTGTATTTTAAAAATATGAACTACTGTTTTTGTAGTATTTCAAACAACTGTTTGTTTTGATCATCTAAATGTTATTAATACTACGGGTTTGTGTAGTCGTACATATACTCTTCAAACTATTAGTTTGAATGGTAGTTGAATTTTTTATTAGACAGCTGTTATCTTGTGTTGATTACCAAATAAATATAAATTCAAAAAATAAAATATACTGAACAATATATAAATTCATACATTTAAAATATTATTAACATCTAATAATTTAATATTTACATCATCTTCCTTACAATTTGCATATTCTACATGCCTGCCTTTTCAATCCATCCTATTCCTCTGTGGAAAAATCCAATACGAATCCATATTTCACGTCGGCTTTGGCTAGATGTTCTATGGCGGTGTTGACATAGTCCATCGGCACAATCTCAACATC